TCCGTAACTACAGCTTGCCGGCTATTGACTATTTGCTAAAAGATGGCGTCTCCCAAACATGGCTGGTGGGTCATAATTTGATCACAATTACCACATCAGGCTGTCCATCGGGACCGACACGCAACGGCCTCTGCGAGCGTTGCGCGCAAATGGGTAAGGCGCCCAGCATTAGTCTGAACTCGAAGGGTCTCAGTGATGCAGTGCAGCCGCCTTCGTCGCCGGAGCGCGAACGGCGCTACACAAAAATGACCTTTCAGCATAGCAGCGTGAATGAGAGCGCCGGCAGCACGGAGCACACTTCGTCATCATCAACATCGAATTCGGAGGCAACCGCACATCCGCATCGGCAGATATCGAACAGTTCAACGATCTCGTTAGATACGTACTCGCGACGCGGGTCCAATCCAGAGGCTTCTGGGGGCCTAGTTGAGGGCTCTCACACAGGTAGCAATACTTCGCTTTTGGGCAATTCGCTCTCGTTGTCAACGGCTAGCGTTGGTCCTTCCACGCGACCGGGTCCAGCAGTGCAGCAACCGGTTTGCGTGCGTGCCTGCACCAGCTGGGCCGAAATCTTCATAAGACGTCCTACGGGCAATGTCTCATGGATAACTCGCATTGAGAATCCCATTGCCAACGACTGCTTTGGTCAGGATTTGCCCTTCAATAGCGTCGTTTCACTGTTCCTGCCCACTGCCTTTGGCGGCGTTTTTGGGCCAGACAACCCAATGCAGGAGCTAGTGCAGCAGCAACGGCAGGAGCAACAGCAACAGCAAACGCAACAGCAAACTCAGGCAGCACAAGAGGCCGATCCCGAGATGGAGCAAGAACTACAAGCAGTACCAGGAGCTGAACCAGAACCAGAACCTGTACCAGAACCTGTACCAGTACCAGTACCAGTACTAAAACAAGTACCAGAACCCGCACCAGAAACAGAATCAGAACTTGCACCAGCGACAGTGGCGCAAAATGCCGAAATTCGCAGCCGAATGGTGGCTAAGGCGAGGGCACTGTATCGCCAGGAGGAGGTCTACTCCGTGAGCAGTGCCGGCGGCGGAGGCAACGGCGGCACAGCGGCCATTGATATTCCACGCTTGGCCGCCTGCGTTAAGAGGGGCAAAGATGCAGTACTCAGTGGCAGCGTCAGCGATGGTGAAGCCGACGATGATGCTTTGGCATTTGGTGATGGCCAGAGTCGAGTACGAAATCCGGTGCGGCGGGTAAACTCCAGTCCAGAGATGACCTCTAGCTGGCGCCAGGCATTCCTGGCCTCAAAACCAGCACCCCTTTCCCAAGAGCGAGATGCCGTCAAGGCGGCCTTCGAAGAACACCAGCTGCCGTCGAAGAAGAAGAGCGTACAGTACAGCACCAAAGACATGCGGGTCAGCTGCGAAGCTATACCCGAGGAGATAGCTGGTTCAACGCCGCCTCAGGCTGCACAAGTTGTGAAGGGTCCATTGCAACCAGGAGCTGGCACATTGCCGCCCAAGCAACACTCAGCCGACGATGTTAACAGCCAAGCGTCAGAGAGCGGAGCTCAGCCGGGCACGGTGCAGACCTCTGCGTCAGCATCCTCTCTGAAGCAGGGCGCTGTGGGTAAGCCACCCTTATCACCGGGTCAAGTGCAGGCAGCTATTACACCCAAACAGTCGCCCACTCCAGCTGGCCCCGGTCTCGGTCTAGCCAAGTCCAATAGCAGCGGCTATAGCAGTAAAAATTGCGGCCCCGATTATAATAATGGCGGTGGTGACGTAATGCGCGGTCGCTCTAAAACGATTTCGACAGTGCGGGAGGTGAACAACGGTAAAGCGCGATCCCCGTCACCCGAAGCTTTCAGAAGCTTTGGTGCCACCAAGCCACCGATCAGCGCCAAGCTGTGCATGAATCCCAGCTTTGTTTTCCTGCAGCTTTACGGCACTGGTGAGCAGGCGGTGACGGAGACACCGCTTAAAGTGGGGCCGGATCAGCCTACCGTATTGAGACTGCTCGATCTTGTACCACCTTTTGAGACGCATAAGATCGGAGTTTTGTATGTTGGCCCAAATCAGTGTAACAATGCTGTCGAAATTTTGCGTAACTCCCATGGCAGCACCCGTTACGTTGAATTTGTGCGCAACATTGGAACATTGGTTAGCCTCAAGGACGCCGAGCAGAATAACCTGTTTATTCATCTGGACAAAAGTGGGGCAGATGGAAAATTCGCTTACATCTGGAAGGATGATATAATGCAGGTTTGTTTCCTGTACACATTTTGTTAAATAAATAGGCAAACTAATTCCTCCCTGCTTTCCCGCTTAGGTTACTTTTCACGTGGCTACTCTTATGCCCACAAATCTGCAGGACGATCCCAACTGCACGGAGAAGAAAAAGCATATTGGCAATGACTATGTCAAGATCATTTACAACGAAAGTGGAGAGAAATATGACAGGAATACGATATCAGTATGTTTTTTTTTTTCCAATAATAGCATTGTACAATCTGATGAGCGATCTCTTACAGGGCCAGTTTAACCACGCCTGTGTAATTGTGGAGCCGCTGGAGCTGAATTCGAATCGTATCTATGTGGACGCACGCGAAGAGATGACTAATTACGTTTGCCATCCAAAGGAGCGAATAGTCTCCGATCGCAGTGCTCCCTTGCTAGCCCGACAGATGGCGCTGCACGCAAATGTGAGTGATATTTGACTTAGATCCTCTCCAAGAAATAACTTGATGTTTTAGCACTAGTATTTTGGGGTTTTCTCCATTTCATCTATATATGTATTATTATATTCACAATACAAGTGCTAGTTAGGCGATAATTCCAAGAATAATACAAACATCAAATTATTTTCTTACAGTTGGCCTCACTGGTCTATGAAAATATGGCGAAAAAAAGTCTGTATGCATCCAACTGGATTGAGAGATTGCGGAAAATCAACCGTTTGCGTGATAAGGTAATAGATCTTTAAAAATGAACATGTACCCTTTCTAATTAGCAACTTTTTGTAATCTTCAGCTAATTGATAAAAGAATTGAGCAAAGCAAGAAAGATAAAAATGGCAGCGCATCCAGCGGCATCGGCAACGCCTCCTCATCGGCAGGGACCACAGATTCAGATGACAAAGTAGCATGTTTCACCAAATATACATAGGCACTGGGCTGTAAACTGATAAATTTAGCAAGTATACTCATCTGTGGTGTGCCTGTGGAAACTGTCGTAGTCTAATGGCGATTTTAATGAAGATTCTTGGAATTCTGAAATGATGGCTTTAGAGGAGCTTCGCTTATATGTTTGTTTCCTTTCTTCCGACATATGTATATCATTATTCATATATTTGAGAACTATATTTTATTTCTGTTTACATATAATTAATATATAACCATGTTCAATCCGTTGTAAACTTGTCATCTTTCTGTAGTCCCGCAATATGATCGTATCCGAAATCCGTAATCTTGTGACCCGCCACGCGATTAGCGAAGCCTACAGCATCCGGCAGGCTGCTCTGCATTACGTAGGTAGCGTATATGAAGCCAGCCATAAAGCTGTCACCGGCACCAAGGGTATCCACGATACGATCAGGCTTGAGGGCGGCTACATTGGTGAACTCATTGACAGCTGTATCCAGACATGCAGCACCTGTGCTGCCCCAAGGACAAATTATGCTAGGACATGTGGGTTTTACGCTGCTGGCAAGAGCATAGCATGTTTCCCGGGGACTCTTCCAGCCCTGCTGCTTGGCCAGCTCGCTGGAAAACACAACGTAGTTACATAGCCCGCACAGTGGTAGGTTCTTCTCAAACATTGTCTCAAAATCTAAGGAGATACGAATGCTGGAGCCATGAATTCGATTGTGCTCTCGCACGGCTTTTATCATTTTGATTGTTTCGTGGGCATGACGTGCCTCGAAGTGAACCCAACCGTAGCGATCAAGATCTATTTTCATAAAGTCCTCATACGTTATATACGGATAGTTTTTATTGCAATGCACAATGGTTCGCGAGCCGGTCTCCTTGACAATTATCACTGAGGAGAACGGCGGATCTTTCTCCGTCTTGGGACAGTGCTGTGTGCCGATGCCACGCCGATCCAAATCATCCAACAGCACCCGGAAGCCGTTCGATTTACTGAGCATACCAAAGAACTCGACATTCGCGCCCAGCAACCGAAGCACGGTGCTAACGTTAGAGGCATTCCCTCCACGCTGCCAATACCCGTCGAGGCATCGTCGATCCGTGTCCTCCGTGGGGAAACTCTCGTTGATTGTCACAAAGTCAATTACGGTGCAGCCCACACAGAGCACGGGCTTCGCTGTGGTCATTGCCAGACTCTTAAAATAAATACATATGCATGCCTATATTCACTTTAACTGACGACCGAACAACTGGAACTTGATCTGTTCTATAGATTTCAATTGAATTTTGTTAAAACAATCTAATCAACTTTTCTCGCACACATGGAAATGCGTGTATATACATATGTATATGTATGTATGGATGTAGAAGTAAACTTTTGTTTTGTTTCTTATCGCGATTCAGCGACTTTAATTAAGAGTATATAAAACATGAATGTATAATGTCAATTACTGCGCTTAATAAATATAAAACCCAAATATATGGATAAATAAATATAAGCATCAATTTTGTACAAGTATACTTATTAAATTTCGTATGTAAAATAAATGCGTTAAAAGTCGATTGTAAGTCGATGACATTGCGATCAAATTGAAATCGATTACCAAGTCGCTGGTCAGTAAATATGCAACTGAGCTCGGACTAAGAAATACCCTGTACCTACAAAGTCACTCTGTTGATGGGTGCACTGGTGCACATAAATACACACACACAGATGCACTCAACACGCTCTTAAGCTTCGCGCTCTTGTAGCTAGAGCAGCTGTAGCACTCAGAGAGCGAGACGTCACACGCAGTGAATGTGTTTCGCTCATAGAGTGCGACGAGGAACGGACATGCGCAATGCGTCACCTTGTTCAGCACTCTCCATGCTTCCAGCTGTGAAGTCGCCTGTCGATCAGTTAACCGCTAGTCACCCGCGCGCGCGGTGTTCGTTAGTAGCGTTGTTGCGCGCCGTTGACAGAAAATTCGCATCGTGCCAAAGTGTCTCCTTTATTTTCGCAACTGGCATAGTGTAAAGGTGTAAAGGTGCCATATATGATAAATGAATCTAAATTACAAAACTGACTGTGACAATAAGCCGGTTGGTAAGTGAAAATAAAGAATTTAAAAAAAATACAAGGAAAAAAGAAAATTTATTGTTGCTTTAGCGACAATGTGTGTGGTGGCAGGAAACCGGCAAACAAGTGATGACAAATATGAACACAGCTGCAAATACACATATGTACATACATACTTATAAATTGTAAACATATGCATGTGATTTCCCAGATTATTTAATTATTAATTCTAATAAAATGTTAATGTTTAAAAGACCAGTACGCTGAGCATTATGGTACACATGTATGTTCGTACATAGTATATCCATACGTTTGTATGCGAGCACATAATTACATACATAAATAACGAACGAAAACGAGTTGAATATTTGAGCGTGCTTACGTTGCGTCGTCGGGAGAGAGAGACAGAGAGCGTGAGCGGCCGCAAAATATTTTGCGTTCAAGAGCACAAAACAGAGCGCAAGAGTGCACGCTAGACTGTCAGCTGGTTGTCAAGTTGCGCAAGTGGCCACGCAATATTGTGTGCATAGCACTCAAAGACCTGAAGAAAACATAAATGCTTACATAGATACTATGTACATAATGGCACAGAATGTACATACAAATGTACATATGCCCACAAATGTGGACTATTACTAAAATGTATTAGTATACTAAGTGAATTGTATGTGCGACTTTGTTTACATCTGCGCCGCGCACTTGACAAAGATCCCAAGCTAACTAAACGAACGAAAGCACACGCGCACACACATGTAGACACATACATACGTACATACATACTTACATTAAATTTCAAGAGCAATTTTTGTATTTTTCTTTTTGGGCCTGTGTCGCAGTTATGTGCGAATGTTAATTCAAAATATAAACAAATGAACTGTTAAAGCAGCTGAATTAAAACACACAAGAAACAATAACAAAATGAAAAAGATATATACAAACATGTGCACACACACACACTTACTTAAAATGAACTCAAAGTGGATTTAAAAGACGATAAGAGAGTTCTTTAAATCTCTTTTTTAGTACATAGCGAATGCGAAATAAATATATGCGATTAAAAGTACAGTATAAACTCTGATTGCCTTCTTAAACGGATGTTTCTATTATTCTGGGCGATATTTAATGATTGAATATAAAAATAAAAAGAAAAAAGTCCCTTCTTTTTAATTGAATTGAAATTAATTTAAAAGTAAATGTAATTAATGAATATAAACAATATGAAATGTGTTCTCTTGTTGAAAGAAGTCGATTGATTTTAGTTTTTCATAGGAGAAAATCATAATATCATTAACTATTCCCATTTTAAAGCATGAAAAAATTGTTATAAATATACATTTTGAATACTCAGAAAAGCTTTGTATTAAGCTTGAAATACCTTTGTACCTCTTCGTAGTGAGTGTCATTAGGAAAAATTTTAAATGAATACTCATCAAGTCAGTCAGTGTCAATATCTTGTGTCGACAACAATAACAATAACAACAACAATAACAACAGCAACAACGCATCGCTAATTGAAACCGCAAACTGGTTTTCGAATAAGATCAATATACACAGCAAGTTGTAATACAATACTTATACGGATCTATGCAATAATATATCAGATGCATGTAGAGAGAAAATGTGAAAGATGCACTTTCTTTGGTTTTTTTTTTCGAACTAATAATATTATAATTGTAATTATAAATTTAAAACAGTTCATATCAACTAACTTTAGTATTATAGTATATCAATATTTATATATAGATATATGTATATCGTTTCAACAGAAAATGAAGAGAGAGAGGATATGGTGAAAGAGAATATATATAGAGAGAGAGAGGAAAGATGATTATATAGCGCACATTTCAATGGTCTATCAACGACATACACATAATATGATCTTAAATTGATGTCTTTGATTTAGTCCTCACACGAAATCGTCTACCTCATCTCTCTCTTCTATTTCCCCTTATGTACTTAAATGATGATCTTGATCTTGATAGAAAAGGCTTCGCACATAGTATGTACGTACTTAAGTGTATATATACCCTAATGATAGATTATTTATAGTATTTCGTAAGTTTTATGTCAATTTTGAACTCTAACCAGGTAACTGAAATGGCATATTGCGAAGCACGCAGACAAGTGAATTTGTGTGCGACTTTTTGAAATCTTATCAAACTGTTAACTGTTGTTTTTGAGCTTTGCTGTGAGGGGGTATAAAAAAACCGAATTGTTTTAGATAAGAGTTTGGCTCTTTGTGTTGTTGTTGTTGGTGTCCATAGCTTGTCACACCACACACACACACAACCACACTCTATACTCCATGGCAATTTTTGCGTCGTTTGACATTGTTGTCGACCCGTTGGCCAAACTGATATCTCGCCTGTTTCTCAACTGCGACACGTCCATTGGAAGCTCTCATTATTACTCTCGGTGACTAAAAACAGTGCTTACAAATCCAACGATCCTTCGGGGTTATACAGACAGATTCGGATATGTCGTTCTGTTTCCAATATAACTGCCACGAACAGCGAAAGACAGATTGCAAGGGAATGGGAAAGCAGAGAAATCTGGCATGCATTACGACATTTTAGTTCATGCGAAGAGTTACGCTTCAGTGTATTCTGGTGCCTTATCAATAAACCGAAGCTGATTTCTCGCCAACTTCCCCTTTGATAATGACAAATGGAATGGGAATTGATGCATCATATCAGAAGAAAGACGGCGAATCATAAGTTCTCAAACCGCCATCGAAAAATTGCATTAAATTAAATTCAGTCAGTTCAAATAAGCTGATATTGTTATACGTAAGGTTATATAAAGTTAACACAGAAAAATAGAGATATAATTTAAATATATATGTATATTAAAATATATTTTATAATTAAATAATTAAATATTTAATTTTATTAGTAAGAAATCCTTTAATAGTCCAAAAATTTGCCTGTAAAATGAGAATTTTGTTAATTATTTATATACTTTATATATTATATACATTATTATTATAATGCAGTGAACCATCCATCTGCTTTTAGTTACAGGGTATTTTAAAGTGTTGCGTGGGCTATTAGCCAGGCAATAGATTAGACAAGTCACAAAATGAGATATCATTATCCATATTCGCTTTAGGCGCTCTGTGAAAACTCTACTGGAATGCCGATTTATATGTAGGAAAGCTCACGGCAAATAGCAGATATCATTGCAAAGACACTAACGAAAGAAAGAGATAGAGATAGAGATAGAGAGAGAGAGAGAGTAACAGCAAGAGCGAGCGAGTGGAGTTACATTGTGCTATTAATATACTTACCTATCATGTATTTATATTTCTGTCTAACTCTCTTTTTGTTTTTCCAGTTAATTGGCTGCAAAATGAATTCCAGCAAAGAGGCGAAGAGCGCCGCGAAGGGACAAAAGAAGTTACAAAAGACCAACAAAAAGCAGCAACAGAAACAACAGCTGCAGCAACAACAACAACAACAACAGCAGCAACAGCAACAACAGCAGCAGCAGCAACAGCCAACCATAAATAGTAATAAGAACGGGATCTGTAAAGCTGCCACGAATGCAAAACTCAAGCCCAACGATTCAAAGGCCAATAATCGCAGCAGCACCAACAACCACAATACATACAACAACAATAATAGCAACAACAACAACAACAACATGGTGCACAAGAACAACAATTCGCAATCGATGAGCGGAACAACAGCTGCAGCGACACCAAACATTACGCAAATGTTTAAGGAACAGTACGATGCAGAGCGACGTGCCACAATGTCACAGGTGGATTCAGTGCCCAAGATGGAGCGTACGCATAGCTTTCGGATGAAGATGTCCAAGTTCTTTAACAACTTCACTGGCAGCAAGGAGAATCTGGCGCGCAGCGACGAGTCCAAAGATGAGGCGGGCAAAACGCCGTTCACGTTCACGCGAAGTCGTTCGATGATATTGCTGCGACGTCCGAATCGGCGCAGTTTTATTGAGCCGCAGCTGGAGCAGCTGTCGGAGGAGGCGGAGAAGTCGGGTGATCCACTGATGCCAGCATCGCCGCGCAAGAATTCGCTGGCCGAGGACGGCGCAACCAATACCAGCTGTTCGCCCATATTGCGACGCCGTGCGGACACCTCCAGCTCAATAAATACGCCAGCTCGACGGCAGTCCACACAGGCGCTGACCTCCACACCCGTCGAGGACTCCGCGGAGGCATCCATGCAGCGCAAGCCATCGCTTATATCCCTGACACCTGCCGAAAGCAACTACAATCCTCAGCTGAACTTTCAGAAACGTCGCTCCAGCACGCTCATCGCGTCGTTCAAGAGCACGCTGATTGGGTTGACGGAGAAGCCAGAGAAGAAGGAGAAGAAAGACAAAAAAGACAAGCTGAATCCCAAGTGGAGCGCCTCGCTGCAATCGCTGCAAGCGATTGATAACATGGTCAGCTATGCCAATATGTCATTCATTGACTACGACAAGTTCAATGGCTATGAGAAGCAGCTGGAGCGCCAGCAGTCCATCATGAGTCTAGCCGAGCAGCAGATGCCCCCCGCCCACACGCTCCAGTTGCCATTGACCACAACCGCCAGCCATCCCCACCACTCGCAGCTCAACTCATCCTCGCCCCTGGGCGAACTAAGTGGGAGTGCAGCTGGAGCTGGGACTGTCAGTCTGCCCTTGCCGCACACGCCCTCCTTTGTGGGCTCCTCATCCATGGAGAGCACGCCGAAGACAGTGGTGATGCGACGCAAGCGAAGCAGCAGTTCGGCGCTCGCGCGCCAGCAGTCCGCCTCGACGCGCAACAGCAGCCAGAGCTCCTTTAACCTGGATACGGACTTTGAGCACAACCTGGACAGAGTTCACAATGTCTATCGCGAAAGCCTGGACTCACGCACCCTGGAGCTGCTCAATCAGCGTTCGCGCAACTCCTTCATTCAGGACCAGCCAATGCTCTTCGACGCCCTCAACCTGGAGGATGGCTCTGCAAACCGGCGCTGTGCGCTCTGCGCCCAGAGTGTCGCGAGAGCCAACAGCTTCAAGCAGCAGCGCGACGCGGTGGATGGGCGCGGGAAGCCCAAAATACAGGTGAGTTCTTATTCTTTTTACTATTACTATGTATATATATGGTAAATATTTTATTATATACAGTATATTTATTGTTCGTATTATCTTTATTGTAAATACAGTAGAATCCCGATAAATGAAAATGGGAAGGGGATAAGTTTTTTTTTGCGATTTACACAGACATTCAAATTATCAAGGAATATTGAAAACGAATTTCTTTCAAGGGGATATAATTTTTGTTCGTTTTATCCCGTTCTTCAATTTAGCGGGGTACGAATTATCGACACTCGACTGTATATGAATATTATTTATTTATGATTATAAATATATGTTAGATACTCTCTTGCTTTGAATATTTGAAGGTATTACTGGTCTTAGGAATATCTCTGCAGGAATATATATTGCAAGAAAAGTTGTAAAAAGTTTATTTAAGTCCACCTATTTTTAATCGATTGCGTACTAAAGTACTTAGAGTTATCCTGAACCGGAATGTACGATACTCCAAGTTTTCAACTGATTTGGCTTTTAGTTCATTTTAAAAATAAACTTCACTAAACCAGGGGCGCGGCAAATCGCAAAATCTCAGAAACGTTTTTATTTAAGAGGCTTTAAATTTATATTTATAACGTATATATGTATAACGTATTCGTTAAAATTTGAATTTTCAACTAGAACTTTAAAATATACAGTTTTACCGCATTTGCTATGCTCTACCATAAAATTTCGATCTTATGTATCGATTTTGGAAGCATTCTACATTTTAAGCGTTTGGCTTCAATTGCGTTAAAATCGTTCATATTCATACAGTCAGACAGACGAACAGCAAGACGGAAATTGCATAAAACCAATAAGCTCTTTCCCTTCGTGAGTGTGCATAACAAGAGTAAGACTAAAGAGTAATACGCTCCACTCGAAGTGGAGTTGTCTCCTATAAAAGGGTGAAGCAACGATCAATTTTGTTCAGTCGCATCCCTGACCTCCTATCAGTCAGTCGTAGTGCAGTGCTTCGCCTGGTAAAACTTTTAAGTATTTATAATTAAGTATTTAAAATCAATTATATTAATAATACTGGCAATAATAATTGTAATGATGATGATTTGAGTGAATGCTGATGTTAATGATATTGGACCTGTAGATAATGATGATTGTTACTAAGATTTCGATAATAATGATGATGTGAGTAATTGATCTTGTTAATTAGATCATCATTATCATCAGCAACATCTATTTCATCATCATCAACAACAGGTTGTCCTTGTTATGATAATTATGATTATGAAGTATCAAAATATACCAAGCATGATTCCAAGCTTTTATAATCCTATCGAACATATGAATAAGAAAACTTTGCAAAGCTTATCAATCTATGTATAAGCTTTCCCATGGAAGCACACAAATCGTAATTAGTCATAGTAACGTCATCTTTAAGCTTTTTATTGATACTTCCCCCAATCTTTGCTAGGAATCATCTTGGACATTCGTTTCATATTTTGCCATATAAAAGCCTGCAGTATAAAAAATTAAAAATAAAGCTTATGTAAAGCATTCTGCATTAGCCGGATTAAAAGATTTTTTTTTTGAAATATCCATAAACAGGAGGCAGATATTATTCAATTGAGTGCTTAAAGCAGTATCACAGATTTGATTTCTTCAGAAATACATTAGATTTGCGGATTCTAAGCGGCTTAGCTCAAAACCTGTTTACAGCCTTGATCCGTATACAGACAACCCTTTGCTTATATACTTACGCTCATATATGTATACGAGTATGTACCTGTACAGGTAAAAACATAAAATATTTCGCTTTTTATGGCGAGCGGGCAACGCTTTGAATAATAATGTCGCTTAAAGATGCAACTGAGCTAGTTCAGGGAAGGTTACAAGACCTATAAAACACAAGCACGAGCTGTTTAGAATTTATAATAACTGAGCGCCAAATACAAAGCACAAATCTCAATATGTAAGCCAGGTTTTCTGTGAGATATATAGTATGTACATTATAGCCATATTTCCCTTTCAAATATGAACACAATCAATTGTGGTTTGTTTGTTTGTTTGTTTCATTGTATTGATCTTAGCAATTTGTATTAGCCAACGTGTATAGCTGAAGCGAAACCTAAATGGCTTGCTAGTGGGTAAATAAGATAAGACGATAAACGAGCGAATCATACGCGAGTGGCTCGATAAGTAGATTACAAACTAATTTGCACTTAGAGTTAACTGAATTTTATAGAAAATGGAAAAAATATGTTGTCAGTGATTCGGCAGTTGCTCCAGCGACGCTTCACTCTCGCTGCCAGCTCATTGCGTGTAGTCGGTGTCGCCCTTGGAGTAGTGTATGCAGGCCAGAACGGTGTCCAGCAGATACAGTGCGCCCTCGATGACGCACAGCGAGCCCATGGCAATGCCCACCTGACGCTCCGAGTTGACGTAGAGGAAGCCCTCGTCGGACATGTAGCCCTTCCAGTAGTGCAGCGCCACACCGCCCACGGCGATCCACATAAAGGTGCCCACCACATTCATGATGGTGTCGCACAGTTCGCTAGGTTAGCAAGGGAATTCGAATTAGAGTGGGTCGAGCGGATAGAGAGGATTCAGTGCTGTGCTTACCCCTTGTGCTTGGTGGTGCCAAAGAAGTAGGCAATTGTGTGGCACCCCGTGTATATTAAGAAGCCGACCATTACACCGGATGCCACGATTTCCGCATCGGCGCTCTTCTCCTCGTTCAGATTCCAGGTGCCGCCAATGCCCAGGAATTCGCCGCCATCGCCCCAACGATATAGGAAGATCACCACCAGATTGATGATCTGCAAGGATTGAGTATAAATCGAATGTAAATGTTCATAATTAACTTGGCTTGGTTTAGCTGCTATTTCCAATGGCTAATGAATCAGACCTTGTAACGATCTTTCGTTGGCCCCGCCCTGTGGAGCTTTCGCTAGACCTATTGCGCACTCACGACCCGCTTTTAATTTTGTGCTTTTCGTATACATGAGTAATATTACGAACAAGTAACCCACCCCAGGCAGGCACAGATAAGGCCGATAAGGCCAGCAGAGTTAGTCGCATTGCTCAACATTTTTCCAAGCCAAGCTGGGCAAAAATTCGTCACTGAGCGGCCAGGACTTAGTTTCTATTAAATATTGAACTCAAGGCTTACCAGCTTAAGTGCTTTGATGAAAATCGAACCAATTGTTTCCACAGATACCATATTTCTCGTTTGTCCTCTCTATATATTCACACACTCAAATTGTATTCGTTTTCTATTCGAATATGAGTTCGTATTCGTTTGGTTGTCGCTACTCAACTGAATACTCAGCAGATAGAAACTTGAAAACAAGTGACAAGAATTTGTAGCTTTTGCAATCTCTTGGCCAGGTGCGCCGATAAGATAAGGCCACCAGATTACAAGTGCGTTTCGAAATCGCTTTAACCTGTAGGGAATGCGTTGCTGTTGCGCCTACGCATGCGCCGGTTCGCCTCGTTATCTTATCGCAATTGGAACTGTCATGCCTTATCGAACTAAACTCCGTTATGTCGACCTATTAGTCTCTCTCTCTCTCTCTCTCTGTATTTCTGTTTGCAGTCTAACTCCTGCATATGTACTATATACTCTATATACCTAAGTATTAATCATGGCCAACCACACAGCGACAAGCTCGTCATTCCGCGCGCCGGAAATAAAGCTAATTACGTCATCATTGACGGCGCTTAGTTGTTCTTCAACTCGCGTAATAATATTCGGCTGAATCCAAATTTTCATATAAAGGCGCTTTCAAATTAAAGCCAAAGCAAACAATTGCAATTCTTTTATAGGCTCAATTTAGCCTCAAAGAATTTTTAAATTAACTCAGTTTAATTGTACTTTTTTTTCTCAATGAATGAATTTTAATTTTTTTTCCATTATTGAGCAGCCGCTGGACTTACAAAAAAAAAAAAAAAATAAATAAATAAAAATAAATAAATAAATAAATAAAATAAATAAATAAATAAAATAAATAAATAAATACTTTTTAAATATTTAGCGCCTTTAGGGAATCGAGAAACTTTAGACCTTTATTTGGTATTTAGGTTGCGAATATCTCTTAAAGAACTCTTTCTGGATTGAGTTAACTTGGTTGTATTTTCTCTAATATAAAAGAGTTTATTAAATAATTTTGTTTTTCAATTTTAAAATTAAATTTTTACATAACTTTTCAAAACTTTTTGGAATATAATACCATACAAAATAATTTATCATAGCAGTGTTAACACTAAATCATCCTCTGGCTCATTAGATTCCCAACTGATATTTAAATATAATTAGGTTTAAATAAATAATTCCGGCATACTAACCGACTAATTAGTTGAGGGCTTCAGCAATATGCGCTAAAGCTTCAATAAAAATAAAAAACAAAAATTCTACAAAATTTTAAACACGCAAAATTATATTTAATATTTTTAGGTGCATAAAAAACAATTTTTATTATTCAATGCTCATATGTGTAACTGGAAGATCACTTTTATTTTCTATGGTTCTGCAAATGACTTTTTTTTAATTATTAATTATAATGTTGTATAATTATATTTATATGAGTTTCTATATGAGATGTAGAGGCCTACCAATATAACTAAGTCTGATCTTGAAAATTTGCCGGAATCAACATTCAAAAGGCAACCCAAAACTTAGCGCTTTTGTTGTCCATTGATAACACTTTGTTTTCTCAGCTCATTTTGATAAATATAATATTTGGCAACTGCAGACCTTCAAATCGATTAACCTTGGACACAAAGCGAGCTGCGCTCTAGAAACTCGTTTCAGTATTATTGCTATAAATAAAACCAGAACAGATTATTTCATTTTGCCGCCGTTTTGATACTCTTATAGAGTTGTAGAGCTCTGCTATATAAGTTACACTTCATAGGAGGCTGAAATATTTAAGTATAAATATTTATTTATAGACATATATTATGTAAAGATATATTTATATGATGCTTAGGTTAAGTACAGTTGAATATGTTTAGTCCTAGTTAAATGGAGAACTATAAATATCTATTCTTAATACTGCCAAATCGCTAATTAAAAACTAAAGTTTAGCTAATTTCTCTTAAGCACAAGACCTAGATTTAACCATTAAATAGTGATTTGGTGTTAGGAACTGTCCCACTTTTGCAATCCCAATTGCTGTTGCTCCCAGTTTTATTTTTACACTCGCACATAATTAGCAGCTGCAAAATCGGAGGCAAACTCCGGTCACGCTTATTCGAATGCATGCACTTCAAACAGAGACTTTAATTTTGGAATCTTATATGGATACATGCACATACTATTTGTATTTGTATATATATATGTATATATTTGTATTGTATCTGTGTAGTATCTTGTATATAAACATATATACATATATATTTTATATGTCTCGCTGAGTTTTGCGATGAATCACGGCATTGTCGTTGTCGTTATTGTTGCTTGTGCCGCTGGCACAGTGTGTAGTAAAAGCCGGCACATACGAGGGCAGCTCAACAGATTATTGGGAATATCTGAGCATGTAATATATGAGCAAATGGTGTCCTAATTCCTCTCACATCTGTGCAACATGCAGAGCTTTTCGACTTTTTTTTTTAAAATAATTTATAAATATAATTAAAACATAAAAATTAGTTTGATTAACTTAAAGTAGTGTCTGGTTTCCACCTTGACCTTCACTTTACGGACCTTTGTTAAGCAGTCCGTCAATCAGTCATTTAAGCAAACTAAGTGGTTTTAAATTTAAACACATATCACACGCTCTAAAAACAATATATCCCCAAAGGATTTGTCTACGCACAAGTTTTTCAAACGACCCTCGTAATCAACCAAGGAATAACAATAAGCGCTGGCGCAGTAGGCGGCGTTTAGAGCTTTCGAGGCGTGTCACAACAACGAGTATTTGAATGACTAAATGAATACAAATGCAGGGGCATCTCACATGTGTAGTGGGCCGACGGACATGGAAACATGTGTATATAGGTATAAATAAATATCTGTGCTAATATATATTTGCATAAACTTTGAATTTATAATGATCTCCATAGAGGCTATGCACACTACTATATAAACCAGCACTTATATGCATATACATAGATATTTTTATTTCGATTGTACATCAATTTGAAGTATTGTCAAAATTTAGAAAAAATGTTTCGTTATGGCTGTAATTATTTATGTAAAATTGTCATCCCGTAAGTTGTGGCTGCACATCAATAATTTGATTCGTGGGCTCTATAAAGTGCGAACCATGATTTACGGTAAGTCGGGCCAAGCGGCATGAGTCATAGCCAATGGCACATGGCGCCGTGGTTTGAGCTTTTCAGCATATTTTATTTTGATTATTTCTTTTGAGTCGACCGAATCTGCAAATCGGCGTCTATATAAAAATACAAACATACATACATATATGAACACACATATGTGTGTGTATATATATAAATATTTGTGCATATATATGTTTGTGTATATGTTTGTATGTATGTCGGAATGTTTATATTTTCGCACTGGGCACGACAAAATTCGTTGTTGCTGTTTCCATGAATGAACGTAGCGTTTGTTTACCAATGGCTTATCGCGGAAAGCTCGCCGAAAGCTCTCGCATTTAAGAGCGCGCGCAAGAGAGCGCGAGAGAGCGCAACGTCTCTTCGCTGCTGGCAGGCGAGGCGTGCTCGAAAAGTAATTGAGGAAGGAGCTTTACTAGCATATATTGCAGTAGAAACTTAAATGAAATATTTACCTTATATTATAATTTGAAATAAAATAGATAAATAAATAAAAAAAAAAATATTTTAGTAGCTCTGTATTACGTTGCCTCGTCATGCAGGGCATCTGCAGGCCGAGTAGTCTCGGCTAGACTTTGTCATTCAGTGCAAAAACTCGCATAGATTGAAGGTGAAATGTTTGAAATGGTTGCGTCTTCGACCACAAATCATCCCTTAGAGGCAGGGGCAGGCGAGTGAGTTAAGAGAGAGTTGCATGCGTGTCAACTGAAAGGCAATCTGCGAAAGTTCTCTTCGAATGTCCTTGGACGCCGTTATCCTTATCAAGCGTGTGTGTTTTCTCAGCTTTCACGCTGCCAATGCCATGTTCGTCGCCCTCGTCCTTTAAACGAACCGATGTGTCCTCCGCCGCTTTAGTTCGTTGCGGTACGTCGCGCTGTGCGGACAACCAAAGGACTTTCGCGACCCACGACGCGTCCCACGTCCTAGGACTACGAGTTCTCTGCATTCGCACAACGATTACGTTCTGTTTTTGTGTTGTTGGTGTTGGTGTTTGTGATTGTGCTGTTGTTGTTGTGGTTGTGGTTGTTTTTGCGCGGGGAACAGCTGAAAAAAATAATAAAATAAAAATAACGAAATGAAAGTAAAACAAATAAAAACCAAAAACAAACAAAACTAAGTGCAGCGTAATACTTATATGTACGAGTGTAAATGTAATGAATTACAAGTTTTGCAGGCAGCGCGCTGAATAACGAAATTATATAAATAATATAAAAAACCCGCACACACACAGAACATTAACAATAACAAAATCAAAAACCTTTCAATGCCTCCAGAATCTGCATCCCAACCTGATGGCCATGCAAATATGGTAGTTATTGGCGGCCGTAAACCCTAATGCAATTAACAGGAATAACTGATTTCTCGATTCAGATGCAAGTGGGTGAATAAAGTGATTTGTTGTGAATAGTGACGGGATGAATCGGAATCGGAATCAGAATCAGCAGCCGCAGCAGCATCGGCAGGAGGAACAGCAGCCGTCGGCCCACACGCTGGCAGGGGCAGGAAGGAAAGCCGGATTGACAACCTACATATATTACCACTTATGTGCATGCATAACAACATAAAAACGTATTTGATTAAGGACGATGTAGGTTTGGCTGTAGCTTGTTTGGTCACTTTGATCATTTAATTCAGTCTGTTATAATTTATTACTTGTTATAATAGTACATACATACATATGTATGCAGGAGATTAGTCATTGTATAAAGTGTACGATGCCGGCATAAATATGATAAATAATATCGATTACGCTCGCTAATAAATGAGCTGTTAAATGATGAGATTTAGCTAGATTTGTTGTTGTTGTTGTTGCTGCTGTTGCTGTTGTTGTGCATGACGAGGGCGATGTCTATGGCGATGACAATGTACTTTATATGCATGCTTGCCTCTGCCATATATGCATGTATGTATGTATTTATGTGTGCAGCAAGCCCTAGTAAGGTGTACGAATCCTTTCAAATATGCATAACCCAATTTCATTTTATGCAGCATACTTATTGGTGCAGCCCACGCGATCCACGCTGCAAACAGCCATATAAGCACATATACACATACATGTACACATACATATGTATGTCGTTCTGGCACACTGGCTGCTGTAATATGCATTAGATGCCCGATGAGTATATTTAGTATAGCGCCTGCTGCTGCTGCTGTCCGTGGCTCGTCAATGCATTTAGATGCTAATTGCGTTTGGCAGCAGTTAAGTCCGCCAGCGTGGACTTGAACGGCCTCTTTAATTGGCCTCCAGTGATGTTTTGGCTTCATGCTCTGAAACTCAATTCGATTCGCAAGGTGAAAGCGTAGACAGGCTGCAATAAAACTAAGCACCTGCCGACCAGCGCGCACAAAATAAAAATATATGAAAGAATAACACACAGAAAAAAAAAAAAAAAAAAAGAGAAAAAAAAATGAACAAAAATATTTATGAGCAGGCACGCGCTACGCTCCTCCTCCTGCTGCTGCCAGCCATACGAGAATCTTTACGAGCGCACAGCTTGGAAAGGTCAGCCAGCAGCCAGCAGCCAGGCAGCCAGGGAGCCAAGGAGCAAGGCACTCTGGGAGCCTGCAGCCACAGAACCTTCAAATATTTCATGCATCTTGAGCAAAAGACACACAAAATATAAGCGAAATAATCGAAATTCACTGATTTGCATATATTTTCAATGTAAAACGTTTTATTTCAAAATTTCAAATTGTTTGCTGATAAAACAATATACATGTTTATGAGATATTAACAAAGAATGTGAAATCAAATCTTTTACTCCTCTTGTGAACCGAGTAAACTGCTCAAATATATTTAATATTAGATTCGCTAGAAGCTAAAGACTTCTTTTGTTGCTTTCATATGCTTAGTTTTTAATACAATTTGAAATGAAATGTTACGCAAGCTATAATTAGATTACGTAATCATGTTCCATCTTCGTGCACGCATTTTCGCGCAGTGCACCCAGTCGGTACACACAAAGAGATTTTGTCTGCTCCTGCTCTCTTTGCGGTCATGTCTGCCGTATGGCCTCAATGGCCATATCAGACATCTTTGGAGGCTGTGCGAGCGATGACGTCAGCACGTCTCCCCCCCTCATATGGGCACCTGATGAGAGTCAAAGTAAATACAAACAAGTATCACGAAGACATGTCCAGTTCCAGCTCGAAGCGCGACTGGTAAATATTACGTTTTGGTCCTCGGCTCCTTGCTCTGACTCCAGCTCCTGCTCTGGCTCCAGCTCCGGCTCCGGCTCCTGCTCCTGCTGTGGCTGCGGCTGTGGATGGGACAAAAGTCATAAATCAAATTTAATTTGAGAAATATTGCCGCATTTTTCGGGCAGGGCGGTCGGTGGAATTTTTCGACAACAAACCAAAGCATAAATATTTGTACTGTTATTTATGAATGTGGCCATAGCCAAACAGGATATCATAAAATGCAATGAATGTTTTAATTAATTTTTATCACACTTTAACTAAACATTGAAATTATACGCAAACATCACGTATCTTCTGTTTACCCATATTTTATATGTTTTCATACTTTTGAGGCCCCTGATAAGGACCCAAGACAAATTGTCAGCTAACTCCTGGCACAGTTTTGGCTTTGTGTAAGCTCCTTTTACGATGTTGAGCACATTGGGGATATGCAAAGATATCTTCTGCGGATTTACAACCGCATTGCGTTCAAAATTTAATAGGGTGTTAGCATATGAATGCAATACAGTATGTATGGCATATAGATTATATTATTGTATTATCATATGTATGGCATATAGATTGCGAAGATTGACAATGAATGTTACGATTACCCTATGAATCGAAAATTCGTATTAGCTGAGTACGCAAAATTTAATAATCTCGTATACTTAGTAAACTGAGTGAAAAGAGTAAATTGGCCTTGCCCACTTCAACATTTTCCCATTCGCTGGGCTGAAGGATCATTATTTATTATAATGTGTTTTTAATAGATTAACGCTATAATTTATAGAAGAGAGAATTTCGCTTGTGCTCCAAAAAATAGTTTTTGTTTTACATATTTTATTCATATATTTATTTTGTATTATTATATTTGTATTTTGTATTATTAAATTTGAATCATATCGACGCAATTGATTGTGAATAATAGATCAAACCTTTCAATATCCTAGAGGACTTAAATATTCCAAATATGTACATATATTCTCTGTATATATATTATAGAGATAACTGCAAAAATCCTCTTCTAATTGTTAGATCCCCTAATGCCGAGAAATATTATTTCCAAAAACTACCCTCGGAACTTTGCCTAAAATATTAGCATACATATTCGTTTTTAGTCAATCACAAATTAAACTTAAAGTTTTGAGCATTTATTCAGTTAATTTTGTTCTTGAATATATATTAACAAAAAAATATATTAAATGAAAATTTACATCGTCCTAACGGATAAAATTATTACAAAATTTATTTTATTGAATATAATATATGAAATATGACTATCGCACTATAGAATATATATATGTGGAGCGGTACAGAAGTCGTGGGTAAAGTTGAGTATATCATCGAAACTTTATTATTTGTTTTATGAACTAGGCTGGCCTTATCCGTTAGTCAGCTCAAATTTAAGCATGCTTCAAGCGTGCATATAGGACCTATAGAACAGTAATGGAGCAGTAATAAGTAGTTGGAGTTCGAGTATTCAGAGCATATATATTTACATGGAATTGATTCTTGAATAACAAAAATGCTCTATAGCTGGATATATACGCAATGTGGTAAAGCAATGAAGAGACAGCGCAATAAGCGTCTTCAATTGATGGGGAGTAGATGTCTTTCCTGGCAGTTCCCTAAAGCATCGTAATTACATTCAGTTCAGTGTGAAACCATCATTAAAAGTCGCCATTTGCATTGTCTTCTCGGCTAGCCAAAAGACGTGTATTGGGTGATAAATAATTTGACAGGGGAGCCCTGGGGGCATTATAATTATCAATTGCGCTTAAATAGAAACCATTTACATTCTTAGACGTGCGTTCACTCAGCTGGTCTAAGCAGCTCGACCATAATTCCACAATTTTAGGGAAACTAATTGAATCACCTTAAATCAACGTTAACACAATTTGCAAACAAATGGAATTTGGGAGGGCGTAACGCTCTTATTTTATTATATACCAATTTACGCACACACGTAGCTGGAGAAATTTGTCATTAATTAGTCTACAGGTGTTGCGTATGTGTGTGTGTGTGTGTGTGTGTGTGTATTTGGGTGTATTTATGCACGAGGCGTGTGAAGAATTTGACCAGGTAGGTGCTGGCAGAAGGAGCTCATAAAAATTGGCAAACAAAGGCAACTTTGGACAGCACGGACGTTCGAGCAACTCAAATTTGCGTGTGCAACATTTCTGTGGCATCTGAGGTTTGGGCCACCTACGACTTACGTAAATTTTTTCTATTCTGTTGTTGTTGTTGTTGTTGCTGTTGCTGTTCTTTTTTACAACAATAACCTAGAATCAGACAGGGCAGAGCAATAACAACAAAAAATAGCTGCGAATGCGAAAAAGAAACAACAACAACAATAACAAATATATAGCTTTTCACGAAAAGGAACCACAACGATCGATTTTGGTATTGGCAAGGCTTGGAAGGGCCATCAGGCTCGGATGAAGGGAGTGGAAGCGGTTGGCGGGGCGGGGCAGAGACAGAGGCAGCAGCAGAGGCACGGCCAGGGGCAGAGACAGAGTCAGGAGCACGGGAAGGGACAGGGACTAGGGCCAGGGCCAGGACCAGGGCCAGGGGCAGAGGCAGTGCCACGTGAGGCGAGGGCGATAATGATGACACATACAGGGGCCCTAACCTTGCCAACGCTGCGGCAAAGTCACCGTGAATTACATTAAATGACGTAAGACAATGCAAGAAGGGAAGAACGCGCGCGCGAAAGCGAAATTTTCTAATTTTAAATATGATATTTGATTGTCTGACAATTCGTCTGCTGAAGCGAATTAATTTGCCTTTGGCACCGAATTTGGGAAGCAGCCCAAACAGTTTCGAAATACATGAAAGTTAGCAAAGACCTGAGACGAGTTGGGATATCAGAGAAGACTCTCGGGTCAACGGGGTACTGTCGATTCAGCAACTTAAACCACAATGCGCTGTTTATATATATTATATAATTAGCAAATTGTGCCATCGGACGTTTTATTCGTCGTTATCGCTGGCTTTGGGGCGAACAAAAAATATGCAAATCGGGCAAAAGCTAAAGCAAACTCTAACTTTTTTGAGCTGTGAAGTAGTTCTTTTGTTCTCTTATAGAAAGTAATAATAATAATGATGCTGATTGGCTTTCCAGCGCTGTGTGGCCCCGCCGCGGAATAGTTTCCCTGTTCGGCTAGAGAGTGCATCCAATTTCCTGTCGTGTTGCGTGCCTGCTTGCCATTATTATAAAATGAAAACTCTCAAATTGACAGTGCTCGACCAGCAAATACGCTGTAAAATGGCAAATGAATTATACATTCGTTTGAAGTAAAGCTATTTAATTAGATAAATGCCCTCAGATACAGCAATATGCTATGCACACACACACACACACACACATATGTGCTCTCATTTATAAATATTTGTTTACTTTTCACTTCTTTGACAAAGAATAGACTCGCAACTTTAAGAATTTAATGAATTTGCGAGCTTCTTTACATAAATAAGATTCGCCTGTCAAAGTCTTCATGGCTTTATTATTACTTTTATTCTTGAAGAGCTTCCATGAAATGAGCACACGGCGTTAATAAGCAGTAAAATGTCCTGCAAACATCCTGTTCGTTGGCAAGCCCGAAAAAAACAAACCAAAGGCAAAGGCAAAAAAAAAAAAAAAAAAGAAAAGTTTACGTTGCACAACAAAGCGCTTATTAAATTCGTCCAAGTTTGTTTCTGGCTCTTCGTTAAATTGGTAGTTAAAGCATAGTCGAACTTCGACTCTAGTTTCCACCACGTAGCATACTATTCCCCGTGGTATGCTTTATCGAAAATCAAAATGAGCTAAGCGAAATTTACGTCGAGCCTAAGGCAATGTATATATAGTAGTAGTATGGGCGTCTACCCTGTAATCATAAATTGGAATGTAAACGTAGTTGTATCACAGGCATAAAGCGAATAGTTGCCCGACTTCGTCTAGACCTTCGAAATTACAGGGTATCATCATGTCAGCTGTCTCGATGCGAATGGAGCATAATATGTTAGATTTATAGCAGACATATAAGAAAGTGAGCCGAGTTATTTTAGTGCATTTTTATAGCATCATTTATTGTTATTCTGTGTGCACATATAGGGTATTAACGAATCAGACAGTGTGGCCCACCTTAATACATACAACATAAGGAACTAACTGTACATCCACTGTACATACATAGGCCTTCAAGGTAATGGTAACAGTAACGGTTACTCGCAAAACACGCAAGCAAAACATTTAAATCGATTTCGAAGCAACCTTAGAATTTTCCAGTCCATCGAGGGAGTCAACAGCTTTTGACACATTAAAATTTGTAGATAGCCTCCTCACAAGTTGCTACAAGAAGTCTTCAGAGGAAGGCCAGCCAAGTCCTTCCGTTCCGTTCCTAACGGAAGTGCAATGAGGTCAAAACTATTCCGCAAATTTAATGAGCTCTACTTAGAAATACGTACATACATACGTACTTGCATATCTACCTATATCCTGAGTCTAGAAACTGTTTCGCCTTAAGCACAAAGCGTGGAGAGTGTAAAATGCATTAAGCATGTCTTGTTTCTATGGTTTTAAGCCCTTCATAAAAAAAGTGAATTATAAATAGAATTTATGTAGGTTTCTTTTACCATATTTAAAAATAACCCAGATATATTCCTTAGCATTCAACTTGCTCGAGCCGTGTGCTATGACCGTAAAGTATTACTTTACAAGTCAATATTTGTGTTACATGAATACAAAAATGGGAAATAGCCGAATGGGAATAGCTGGAATACTGAAAGGAAAATACTCTACTCTATATATGTAAATATATATATATATATATATATATATATCTAGATGAGTTTCACCTTGCAGTAATAATATTATTATTAATAATAATTATAAATATATTAAATTAAATTACTTAAGTAAATTAAAAACAATAATTATATAGAATGTATTTATAATTTGCGAAATTTAATAAATTTAAAGGAAAAATAATATTAATATTGAATTGAGTAGAGAGTATTTTTCCATTAATATACCAATTTTTATGAACAGGTGCTATTTGTAGTACGACTAAGCACTTAATAAGTAGATTCAAATTTACTGACAAAGTCAAAGCTTATATTTGAATTTGAAACAAATATTAATATTGACAAATATTGGTAATAACTGAACTACGATTATGAACTAATATAATTACTATAGTAATATAATTAAGTTCATATAATATAATTTAAAAAAATCAATAAATGAATAAACAAATAAAATGAATAAAACATTATTAATTTAATTATTTATTTTTATTTTTTTTTCTAATTTTATTAATAAATTATTTTAATTTTTTAAATTTTATTAGTGCATTAATTGAACTATGATGATGTGTAAATATAATTTTTGATATTAATTGAGAATAGTTATTGATACATACAAATAACAAACAAATATATAAATTCATAAATAATTAAATAAACAAATTGTTTAAATTATTAAATTAAATACAAATTAGTATTTATGAATTAGTATTTTTTTAAATAATTTGATTTTCTTTATAATTACTATTTATTAACAGTACAGGAATTAAATGATATATTATGAATGTTAAGTAATAATAATTATTAAAAAATAAAATAAATAAAATCAAATTATTTAAATAAGTACTAATTTTTATTTAATTTAATAATTTATATTTATAAACAATTATTTATAAACAATATATTATGAATGTTAAGTAATAATAATTATTAAAAAATAAAATAAATAAAATCAAATTATTTAAATAAATACTAATTTTTATTTAATTTAATAATTTATATTTATAAACACTTTGTTTATTTAATTAGTACGAAAATTAAAGTATTCTTTACTTAATTATTTATTTATTTCATTGCTTGTTTATTATATACTTATTGTATTGTTTATTTATATTTATTTTTGTCTCATATAATACAGTAATATAGTACTATAGTAATATCGTACTCAGATACTCGATTAAGATATTCAGCATATCTATATTCAGCAGACTGGGATTCGAGTCATGATCCCAGCTTGTCCAGTCAGCAAAGTCTGAATAGAGTATGACTCAGTCGTGGCCTCTTGACCACAATTTGTTTTTGCAAGAATGCATTTTGTTTTTATATGCTCTGCTCAGCTCGGCTCGTCTTGGCTTGGCCTGGCTTGGCAAGGGTTTGGTTAGCCTGGCTACTTTTATTGGCTTTGCGTTCTGCCTTCAACGTGGGTGGGTGGTGGCCCCAGTGGCTGCACCACTGAACCACTTCACCTGCCCGCTGCTTCTCGGTTGAGCAAAAGTTTCGTGGCAGAGTGAACGGTATAAATCAAATGATTGACAAAAAGTGCAAAATGGCTAATAGAAATGACATCAGAGGCAAGTGGTAAATGCTAAATGCCTCGCACGGCTCTCGGCCCAGAAGAGACTGGCCATGGAACGGGGCTTTTCCATTTGAGTCTGAATAGGTGGCACATTTATTTATAGCTAGCTTTTTAACTATGCTCTGTGGCCGGGTTAAGCTAAGACAATTTCGATTGATTTTATATTCAACAACTATTCCTATCTTTCTCTTGTAGGTAATTGAAATCCATATGGCATACTCCATCCAACATATTTATGTGCGCGTGTGTGTGTGTGAAGACGTAACGCAACGAAGCGAGCAACAAATAATTTTTCAAAAATAAATGTACGGTAAGAGGCAGGCACTCGCTATAAGGAAGAAAGCGCGCAAAAAGTATAAATAAGCCGATATCAAAATGCTTTTAAACTAACTAAGGTGAGTAATGGCCGGGGATACGCTCCAGCGGACCAGGAGAGGAGCTCTCTCTAAGAGGGAGACAACTCGATTTGTCTCAGTTATAAATGATTTTGAGTTGTCAAGAATTACTTACTTATGTTTATTTGATGTTATTTTGATTTATTTGTTGAGTTTCCATAATAATAGATAGTTATCAATAATAAGTTGAGCTCCCTCCGGGTTACAGTCGGCTACGACGGGGCGTTGATTTGATTTCTGATTGTGATCTGTCTACTTACAGCTAATCAACAATTAACCAACTTAAACGAACTAATTAAGCAATAGAATGCATATAAATAATATATAATTTTAACAGTTAAAATAGGGCACAAGCGAATTCGAATAATTCATTGTGTCTCTGTTGGGGAAAACCAAACGCTTCTTAACTTAATGAGTGTAAAGTTAATTACAAATTAAGAGCGAATTAAGTCTATTGAGTCATCCTGAAGCCAATCAGGGCTGAATATACATATATATATATATATATATATATATATATATTTGTATGTCTATGCATGTGTGCGTACTGCTATCCATGTAAAGTGGAACTGTCCAATTGTCGAACTGTCTATGAGCAGCAAGACGGAGGAGTCTCAACGTAATGGGTGGTGGCCTTGCGGCGCTATCTATTGTATACGCCAATCCAGAGAAACGCGCCAGAGGAACGGAGCTTGCCGAAACGCAGTCAGAGCTATTGGCGGAGTGGAGCACGCACTCGAAGGCCGCACCAATGCACGAGAAAATAGTGGAGGAGACACGAAAGGAAAAGACTGAGAAGGTACATCTTCTTGGCAACGCTAAGGAGAAGCCGTCAAAGGAGAAGCCCCCCAAGCAGTCAAGACTAGCTGAACGATTGCGTCGCTCATTTCGGCGCAGTGTGCACAGCTCTCTGGAGGTCAAATCTACGTCGGACGATTGCCCAACGAAGACCTCCGGCTCGGCGCCGCTGCCCAAGCTAGACAACAACAATCTAGCGGGACGTATACCCTTTTCGGTCGCCAGTCAACTGCACCTGCCCGGCCTGGCACTAGGAGGGCACATCAACGCGGCCCTCCTGCTGGACAGCCCCGACGAGTGCACGCCGCCGGAGTACGCCTACCAGCACCTGAGCAGCGTAGCTACCACCAATACGAACTCCAGCAGCTCGCTGGAGAGCAACTTTGAGCTGAGCGAGCTGCGCGGCTCACAGGCTGAGGGACTCCACTGGGCCAGCAGCCAGCTGAACCTTGAAATGGGCAGCGAGATGAGCAGCGCCATCAAGAATGAGGCGCCGGAGCAGAGGGAGGGTAAGCGACGAGTGGAACAGCTGGCAACTGGCAGCAGCAGCCGGATGGGCGATCAGCCGTCGGCTGTTCCGGCCAATGCCAGCCGCAGCTGCAGCATCACCAGTGAGAGCAGCTCCGTCCGGATGACGCGCCTGCAGAACTTTCTCTTCAGGAGCAGCAATGAGAGCTCTCGCAGCTGTCAGGGCCATTCGAATGATGGCTTCACCGCTTCCTCGTTCAATTCGTCGTCCGGCGAGTGGGAGCAGCTGGGCGCCCATGTGATATCCAGCAGCAGCGGCGTTGGTGGCCTGCACGACCTGAACACGGGTTCCTTTCCCGAGGAGGACACGCCGGATGAGGCCGACGTGGACCCCACATTGCCAATTGAGAGCGGCGATGCTGGCGCCTACTATCAGTATACGTTGACCTCGCCGAACAATCCCTTTCTGCCGGAAATTACAGCACGGACGTACCACAGCACCTACGAGGACGACGACTTGCAGGAGGGCCAGCTGCAGCCCGAGGAGCTGCAGCTAGATTGCAATGTGACATCTGTGAAATATACGGGCTGGGGCACTGGCACGCGATCCGCGCAGCTGCCGACGCCCGCTTACAGTCGCGCCGGCTCGCAGGAGTCGACGTTTAGTGAAAGCGGTGTTAGCTGCCCACAGGGACCAACGCCCAGCCCAGCGTCGAGCTCCTCCTCGACGCCGGGTCGGCATAGACGCAAGCTCTTCAGCCTGAACTCGCCCACGCGGCTGTTGCACCATCAGCAGAGCAGCCCAACTGCAACCCAACAACCACAACAGCAACAGCAACAACAACAACAACAGCAGCAACAACAACATAATCCGGGTCAGAAAATCGAAATGTCCGCCTCGCCAACCGAGAGCCTCAACGCGAGCGCCTTGGTGCGCAATCTGAATCCCTTTCTGCCCGCCACATCAGCGCCCATCGCAGTGCCGGCGGACCTGAGGAGCAAGCGCGAGGAGTTTTTACGTGCAACAATGAAAATCTGTCTGGTCGTGTCGCCGCCGACAAGCAAACTGCAGGTGAGTCAGTGTTTAGCTCCAGCAAGGGACCCAACGACCAGCGACCTGCGACCGGCGACACTGGGCCACGGCAAGCCAATGCACGGCATGGCACAGCACTTTCCTTTGCCGGAAAACAATTTGTAACATGCGAATAAAGACTTTTCAATTTCATTCTTTGTTTTATTTACTTGTGCTTCTGCTTCTGCTTCTGTCTCTGCTTCTTCCTCTTCTTGTTTTCATAAGAGTTTGTGAGACGCCAGTTGTCATCACTTTCTCATTTATTGTTATTTTGCCCTCGCAGAAAGTAGTATTATTATTTTGCCGAGAATACGGAATGCTGTAGCTAAAGCCTCTTCTCCGTCTGTCTGTCTACGCAGCTAAATTGGCTCTTTGAAAAACAAAAACTATCTAAATAAATAATCGTATATCTTATACTTTTATATTAGGTCGCGAAAGTGAAATGAGTTTATGAGTTTGGTTTGGGTTTGTGCAATGATCGTCCGTCTACTGTCCGTCTGTCCGTTACACTCGTGTGTAGACTCGGCTGATAAAGCGATAAGATTATTTAGTTATAAGGATAAATGTCCACAATTTAGAGTAGAATTAGATAGGGATGGGCTGTGCCCGCTCATCACGGGCGTGATTTGAATTTAATTCAAGTTAAATTTTAAATCTAATATATAACCTTATGAATTTTTGTATGCCAGTAGCGGATATGACAAATCGTTAAAAAATGTATCCTCTATAGTATTACAGTTACAACCTGTAACGAAGTCCTCTATGAACTCTCAGTTGACTATAGTATTGTCTTACATAATATAAATATATATCCCAATTGGGGACGAGGCAAATCAGAAATTGGAGTTGGCAGCGTTTCGACCGTGCATGAGTATTCTGCAGTCGGTAACAGCCGACTATAACCTTCTTACTTGTTTATTTCTATATTAAACTGTTTGTTTCTTAAAATATCTGGAAGGGAACTCTTGAATTATAAGTTTGATTATAGAAATGCGATTCTCTTCCTGCTCGCTCTTTAGTTTATGTATTACATACACACGCACACATATGTACTACAGAAGTCTGAGTAAGTGTATTTTTGTGTATGCGGCACAACCATGAAGAAAACTAACAATGTAACATGGGAATTTCTTTTACAAAAGTTGGAGATTCGTTGCTGTCATCATAATTGTCCCAGCTTGCCCATTTATTGTTGCCAACATATCTCGAATCAATTTATTTGCCAATCGAATGACTCGCGTCCTTTCCTCCCGAATGTGCTTTAAGTGCTTTAATTATCTTGTTTCGAGAGCTTTTCTTCCTGACTGAATCATTTTTATTCATTTATTTTACTATTTTTTTGCGTGTGTGTGTGTGTGTAGTCAAGCTGTAACTAGTCAAGCGCAATAAAATATTATTTTATTGATTGGCCAGGCTCGTTTCAGGTGCAATCAGCTTGAAATGGAAACATGCAAATGCAGGAATTTGCATAGTATATCATTGTTTTTTCTTTCGTTTTTCATTCTTTTTATTTGGACGGTCCTGCATTCCATTTCATTGATTTATGGCAACGGATCTGGGTTTGGTTTTGCGGATTGTCGGCCAGCAAGGCAATCTTTCAAAACTAAAGAGTTGCACAACTTGAACTTGTATGTGCTCAGCGGCTAATTGTTATTAATTTTTATGTTATCTATGCACTACATAAATATTCATATATGTATATATGTGTGTGTGTACGCACTCAACTATGCCGATTTGGTTGACAAAGTTGCGTATTCAATTTGATTATAAATATGTCGGATATTGGGTCGACGCTTTGCGGATTTCGTCTTTCTGTCACTCATACACACTCACACACAACCACACACACACTTCTTTCATTTATTCCATTTCAGCTGAAATCAAAAAGTCTCACCCACTTAGATGGCCTCGACACGCCGGTGCCAGGCTGCCAGCACGGTGCTGCCGCACCCACAGCTACCGCCGAGACCTCCACGACCCCGGCCATGTCAGCGCCAGCGGACACGCCTGGCCGGCAGACGCAATCGGTAAGTGAAGATATGGCTAAACAGTTCACGATAGCAAAAACAAATGGCATTTAGTTCAAACACTGCATGCCCCCAAATACGACATATACACACACACACACACATACATGTAGCGTGTGTGTGTGTGTGTGTGTAAGTAGATATGTATGCCAACCAACATGCTATGTATATCCAACCGACTCCCGTCCCACCTGGCCATTCCCCTAGTGGCACACATCCAAATTGTGAAAATGTGAAAAAGCAATTCGTATTATTTTCGATTTATGTTTTTTGTTCCACACTTCCACTTCTCGCATCTGCGACATTCATTGATTTCCTCTTATCAACGGAAACTAGACTTTCTGTCTATCGCACATCATACAATATGTTCGCTGCTTAAGTTGTGATTAATAGTTTTCTGGGTATTTTTTTTTTTTTTTTAATTTCTATTAGAAGTGTTTAGCTCTTATTTAATTTTTTATTTTTTATTCCGATTGGTTTCTCTCCTTATAGATATGCCAAAACCTTATGCTTATGCTCTTGCTCTCTCTCTCTCTCTCTCTCTCTCTCAATCACTCTCTTTTTCTCTCTTTGTCTTTCTCTCTACGTTTTACTCTGATTTCTTTCTCTATTTTCTAACTATCCATTCCAATCTAAATGCTACTTTCTACTCACGTACATACCTGCATAAATACGTACATGTATACGAATACCTCATGTAGGGGGAGCTACGACAAGCCCCCAAGGTCTCCAAGCCGCAACAACCACACACCACGCCCACAACTGTTCCACCGCCCACGATTTATACGCAAACACCACAATTTGTGCGCCGATCGCCGTCCCTGATGCTCTCGCCGAGCAGCCCGAGTCAGGCCGGCATCGGATCAGGTGTTCGCTGCAGCGCCAGCTCCGCCCAACACCCGGCGTGCAGCAGTGCAACCGGAACAACCTATTTAACACCCACGTCTAAGACCTTGCAGAGCCATGCCAGCGATGGCTTGCAAACGTCGGCAATTGGTTCAGGTGCTTCGATACCATATAGTCACTATGGTGGCTCCAAGAGCGTTGCCCCAACGATCATGAGTTCGTCGTTAATGCATCGCAAGAAACCGTTATTAACACGCAGCGAGGTGAGTCATCCAGCCAGACAAGACGCGGAGTCTGTGGAGGAGTCTAGACTGAGTGGCACTCAAGGAGGGTCACTCAAGGAGGGTCTCTCAAATGGAGACCGAAATGTGAAACAAATCGAGTCTCTTTCTGCTTTGTTTGGACATCTATTCTTTCATCCTCTCTCATCAATCATTGCCCATAAAGGGGATTTACTTTCTTCAAATTGATCTATTTGGCATATAATCTGTGATATAATATAGGGAACTATGAGTGGCACGGGATATCTTTATACATATGTATTGTATATATTCTAGCTAGGGTATTAGAACATTCAGGTCCATGCAGGGAATAGGCTAAATATCTGTCGAGTTCTTTATGATAATAATAAATTCTTTCTGTAGGTTTCAAGCTCGGAATATTTTTCGGTATCCTTTTGCCTGGACGCATCGCCATGCCCTGACGAGGAGTTCATACCGGCAACCAAAGGCACAACATTACAGTGAGTCCTGGATATACTCAGTCAATTTAATAAGAATACATCATAGAGTTCCTATTCCTTATTTACAGAAATGCGCTGAGGCACATGTTGCACAGGCGAAATCTTAGCTTTTCGCAGATTAAAATTACAGACAATATTCCCACTTATAGCTATCCAGATACAGGTAAATACTCTTAGCCTATATGAATACTTGATATAAATGGCATTTGATTCTTCATAGGTCCATCGAACATGACAACCCTCCTAGACGAGCATACCGATGTTGAGAACTTGGCTGGACATCATCTGGTTATTACGGAACGCGACAGCAGTCGGAAGTCTTTGCAGAAGGCAGCATCCTTCGTAGGTTGACGCAGACTTTGTCACATATATTGTTATTGTAAGAGTGTTCTTTCCCTTTAGGGCTCTCGACAGCGACCTCCACGCCTCCTGTCCTCCGCCTCAACAGAGGAGACTAGTGAATCAGGCAATGCCCATGGCAAGCAGATACTCGGTCGTTGGTCCTCCATATTCGGCATAAAGAACCCGCAGCAGAGTCAGCTCTACGATCTGCTCAACAATTATGCCAAGAACGGCGTGCCCCAGCGCCCAGATGCCTTCAACTCCGAGAATCCCGCGATCTCTGAAGCCCTGAACTATCTGCAAAACATGGACAAGTCGTGGCGCGACTTCGTCGATAGCAATGCGATGAGTGATAGCGAGATTAGGATACAAACGGCCATATGGGAGCTGGTCACCACAGAGGTCTACTACATTCACGCCCTGCAAACGGTTACGCACGTAAGCATTCCATTAAATCATTGTAGTAGGACATCCTCAATCTATACTCCGATTGTTTTATAGCTCTTTCTTGCCTGTCTGGAGGCCGTGCAGGAGGAACGCCTGCTGATTGATGTCGATCAGCACAGACTGTTCTCAAACGTACGATCCGTGTGCGAGGCAAATATTAAGTTTTGGACTCAATATCTATATCCGATGGTCGCACACAGCATAAGGACACGCGAGCCCCTGAGATATGCCTTTTTCCAAGAAGGCTTCATAGCATTCGCTTCGATTTTCGCGCCCTACAAGGTGGGAGCAACAATTACAGCTATTTTTTCCCGTAGATGATCTAATCTGGTGTTGATCTCTAGGTTTACTGTGCGGAGCAGAGCACCTGCCAGTTTTACTGCAAGGAGCTCAATCAAAACAACGCGCTGTTCACTGTCTACTTGGCCTGGTGTGAGTCGCAGAAGATGTGCAACCGCTTGCGGTTGGCCGACATCGTTGTCCGTCCCATGCAGCGGCTGACCAAGTACAGCCTCCTGCTGGCGGCCATCAAGAAGCACATGACTGATGTGGAGGACATCGAAGTGATGGACATGATGATACACAGCGTGGAGAACTTCGTTGGCAGCGTCAACAACCACTTGACAATGCGACAGGAGAGCGAGCGCCTTAAGGGCGTTATGGCACGCATCGAATCCTATGATGTGGTGGTAGATATCCTCAAATATATACAACCATGTGTGCATATTGTATAGCGATATCATATTGCAGGACACCAACAACGAGGTGTTGGACAAGCTCATCAAGCAGCACAGCCAGATGTTCGATCTGTGCGCTCCCATGCGCGGCTGTCCCGCCAACCAGGTGCGCCACCTGTTCATGGAGGGCGACCACAAATTCAAAGACAATGTCGGCAAAAGCGACGTGCATTGCTTTCTGCTGACTGACATACTGCTCGTGTGCAAGGGCATCGCCAAGAAGGGCTTGGGTGCGCTCAAGGTCATTCGCCAGCCATATCTGACCGATCATCTGATCGTGCATCTGGGGCAGAACAACACGCTCAACTGCGTCTATCTCAACGAGTTCCAGGTGGCCACCACGGGCTTTACGCTGCAGTGCATTGAGGCCAAGAACTGGTACGATGCGCTGTGGCGCGCCAAGACCATTTACCAAAGACTGAAGAAGGGCAATGGGGGCGACAGCATACGCTACGGCAGCAGCGGCGCTGGCGGTGCCACTGGCGATTCCCTCGGTGTGCGCAAGTCGCCCATCAACTCCTCGATCGGCAGCCATGTGTCGAGTGCGAACAACAGCCACAGCGGCAGCGTTGAGTGGAACGATTCGCGGAATATATCCGTTGACTTTGAAAAGACTAACTCGCTCTCCAGCGACGAGGGCTCCAGCCTGTTGGGTAAATCCAGGTAGTTCACGTTAGCGAGCATTGCGATACTCAATTTTCACTCAATTGCAGGTAACCAGGGCCTGGCACCGAAGGGCAAGCAGCACTTGCTTAGGGGCGTGCCAAAGCCAAAGATTGGCGCAATTGCATCGACATCGGCGAATACCCTATCCGTACAGCCGTTAAACCATCTGGGCCAGAGTTTGCCCAACCTGAACTTGCAACATAACCAAACGTAAGTCGCCACAGACAATGATCAGCTTCCTGCTTCATAGAAGCACACGAGCAAGCAATCGCATACACAAGTATTCACTACTCATCTGATTCTGATTAGCATTTTCCAGTCATTTGTTTAAGTCCTTAAGACCGTCCGTATACGTCGTTAATGTTATTATACACATACAACAAAAAACAAAACACAAAAACAAAAAACCTATTTATATATACACACATAGTTTGTCTAATTTAGAATATATTTTTTTATTTGTAATGCATACAATTTTAAAATAAATATATTATATATTCTATTATACATATAATGTAAAGTCAAGTTTAACTCGTGTCTTTCATCGAAGCCAACATCAACAACGCTTTTTTCCTCAAATACTCACCGCAAGTTCTAATTTGCCTGCGATCTCATCATAATCAACATTTCTCTTATGTTTCGCATTTGTGATCTGCATTTTAATTTCATAGGAATATGGAGAACAATTGAAAATTACTAAAATAGAGAGCTTAGCTTAAATAAGTTTAGTATTTATAGTGGCTTCCACAAATGTACCAAAGCAGGTACCGAATTGGTATCTCCTGTTTTTTTTTTAAATTTTATATATTAGCATTTCGTTATTGATCTATTGAAGTATATTTACATTGAGACATTAATATAGAAAAAGAAATAATTAAAAATAAAAATAAATAAACACAAATAATAGCTTATACTTTTATTGAGACTCTCATATATGTACGTACCGATGTAGAAATGGTCTTATGATTTATATACTTTTGTAAATTTTATTTTATTCACAAGTTTAATTATAAATGCGAGCTTTCTGTAAATGCACGCGCTTTGATATCTCTAGATCTTTGTTGATCCACTGAGAATGTAGCTGCAAATGATTTGAGTTTTGGTTCGTTCAATGCTTCAGTTCAATGTAGTCCAGCGAATTAATGGTCTGATCGGTTCTAAAGTGAAATTTAACATACTTATAGTAACAATACATTGCTTGTGCCGGGCACAACGACTAGTCACTCGGGTAACTTATTGTTGTCGCCCAGTCATCGCGGCATTTCCTATCCACCGCCGAGTCCAACTAGGTGAGTCCGAACAGAAGACGGGAGCAACTGAAATAAATATAAATATACATATGTACATAGCATCATTGTCGTTTAATATCTCTCTGTGTCAATTCTCTATATTCGCATATATGTTGCATTGCATATTCTCATGATGTCTCATGACATGGCATGTCTCTCGCATCATCAACATGTGTTACGTAACGAACGGTCCATCAACTTGAATCCTAATGCATTCCACCACCTAAATGCGTACCTGTTCGTTCGTGTCTCTAGAGTGCCGCTGAAACGGGGCATGGCATTCTCCACGTCCACGAAGAACCCACCACTGCTGAAGACCCGCAACATCACATCGCAGAACAGTATTAATTGGCATCAGATACCAGCCACGCCCACGCCGCCCAGCCCGCGATCGCAGCAACATTCGCCCAGCACCACCAACGCCTGCAATGTTGATCCCAGGCTCCTGCAGAAACAGATATCGCACCAGCTGCCCCTGCAAACGACCAATCAGAGCAACTTGGACCTCCAACGGAATTTAAGCAATGAAACGGACGTCTAATGCAGACAACTGGCCAACAGCCAACTGATTGAGAGATTAGCTTAGATTTAGATCAAGGAAATCAACAAGAGAAGCAGTACTCCATACTCCGTACTCATCAACGATTCCTTGAATAGAGTCGGTCAATGTACATAATCGCTAATACTGCACCTTTGGGTCCAAATACGATACAAATATAATCAACATTCCATCTAAGTTCTATGCTACCATTCCCATTGTCTATCCATATTTAAGTCGGCATATGCATACACTATAATCATATTAAACAGTTATACGATTACATTCTTCCATGGAAAAGAAATAATTATGAAATGCTAGTAAAAATATTTTTAATCAATAAATAAATACACAAATATGTATGTAAGCATGTTTATAAATCTTTACAAAAACATTTAAGCAACTGTAGAAGCATATTGTTAAAGATAGTAACCATAATTTAAAGTAGATATTCTTTTGGCCCTAATTTTCCTATAATTTCCTATATTCTGTTGATAAAGCTAACGAAAATATACTCTATTATTAATTTTTCGCCCTATTCGTTTTCTTATTTCATAATCTATCAACAGTAAATAACTATGTAGTTATATTTTCAGATAAAATCATGCCTCTAATCAGTTTCCCACTTTATTTCTTTCTTTCTTGAATGTAATCCCGTTAGTTTGTCCTGATGAGAAGTGAGTTGTGGCATATCTTTTATAATAGATTTTCTGTGGAGTTGGCTCGCTATAGGCAATGTAGAACGTACTTAAAGCAGAGCGCGCTCAAAGAAAAAATCTATTTACATTGTTGAAATATCAAATATTAATTAGAATTACGTATGACAGATCCTATTAAATTATTTCCGTTATCTTGCATACCCCAACAACTTGACATCGATTGGGATGTTCGTTGTGCTTTTTCATTTGCCTGCAATTTAGTACAGCGATTTAAACAACGATTTGAAATAAGTTTCAATATCTTTTGGACACAAAAATATGTGATAACTTATATACAAATTTAACATCAAAAAAGAAAATGTACAAAAAATAACTTCATGAAGGTTTTAACACACTCTAGTTTTGATAATGTAAATAATAATGGTCTACTTCTTTCTTTGTTTGTATTTGTACTAGAGAATTGCTTGGAATAGAATATGTAGTGCCTAAGGAATGATAAACGTTCTTCCTGCCATTCAAAATGATTCCACAAAATTTGAACTAAATCGGGCATCTAGTATATACATTCATGCGTAAATCTATATATTTATATGCGGTATTACAGATTTAGACTATATATAATACTTAAGATATCATTGGAGCTAACAACAAACAATAGTTTATGCCTAAATCAAAATTTCTGAACATGAAACGGTACTTAACAATTGTACACAAAATAGAACAAGGAACAACTTTTATTTGTATAAATAAATATTACGAAAAATGTATACACTCACCTACAAATATATCCACAAATATATATATATATATACATACATTTACATAGTTACTAATCAAAAAGGATACACCTTAAATATTAGAATATTATTTAATAAACAATTCAATTGTATTTTAAATACATATTTTAATTTGATATATAAATATGTATAGATATATATTTATGTGGAACACAAAAAGCTATTCCCACAGTATTATTTAGTGTGCAATTGAAAATGTGTTTTAAAATAGTACATTCTATTATACATATATTATTATAGAGTCAAATATCATGGCCAGTCCGCACTCTAAAATCGCGACTACACACATACATATACATATATATAGTGGGTATTTCAATCCATATAAAATTATTTGATTAGATTCTATAAATATTATCAGGCGTAACTCAAGCTTGAATGCTTTTTGCAAAAGATGCATCCAAGACGCAATCTACCTACCTATACATAAACAAACAAAAACACACAGACACACTATACTATATTTACATACGTATGTATTCATTACAAAATACAATAACTAATCATAGTAAAGAGCGTAATACAAAATAGCTTTATTTACACCAGTAAATTAGTAATATTTACATACATATGTATAAAATGTTAAAGAATTTATGAATTAAACAACAACAAAGCAAAAGTTTTCATTTTTTTGCGTCTTTTAATCGTAGTTTAAATTTTATTTAATTCTAATTTACTTCTTGGATGGGATTCAGGATTATTTTTGTCATAATTGATCTCAGAATAAATTCAGATAAATCCTGAACACTAATGTAAATATATCAGCCAGTAGAAGGCTTGGTTTAACCCATAAATATATTCTTGAGTTGATGCAAGAGTCGACGTAACCCTGTCTCTTTGGTAGCCTTCATTTCTGTTCGCTTAACTAATTAATTTAGTTCTTATTTCAAGCACTGCCTCTCCGCTAATGTATCGGTTAAAGCAACTCTCTCTCCACTTTGCAACACTGGAAGATTGCCCTATGCACTTATAATTGGTTCATCTTTGGTTCATCCCTTAAACCTAAACTTAATGTAAATCAAATAAGTTCTTCCAACAATTACATGCAGGGTATTTTCAAGTCGGCATTGCCGTGCAGAGTTTTCTTAGTTGCCCTACAATATCGCAGATAAAAACTGATTGCTAGTTATGTTAAATGAACCGTGTTATATAATTAGCACATCCGTATATATAGTACGCCGTTGATTTGATCCGTTTTAAATTTGTGCTCTGACCTAATTGATAATTGGAGTTCAGTGTTTGTTCAAAATGTCTGCGACTCGCAGAGGCGGAGGCGTGGCTGATATCATCAAGTGTTTATGTTTCATTATCAGCATCAACAGCCCCCATCGGAGGTCTGTATTCAGATCTAATCTCTTTCAAAATATGGTTTGTGATATAGACTAGGGCATCTCCTAGTCAGGCACAGCCGACTCGCACACTCTTACTGTATTCTCAATTGAAATGAAATGTTGACTTTAAGAATATAAATAATTGCACTGGCTAGCCGAGTGAAGGACATGCGATAAAGCACGCGGAGGACATCATTTATCAAAGCTGGGGGCCGCAACGAGAGCCAGAGTCGACTTGTCCGCTTGCTCCTCTGGTGAGCAGCTGTTTTGGAATCTTTTAATGGTTTAATAAGCAACGTTGTCCAGCTGCTTGACAATTCTCAAAGCAGTCGAGCACTTGAGTTTGCTAAAGAAATTTGTAAATCTTAAGTACGAAGCTTTGAACCTACATTCATTCTCTCAATAACTGAGAGGTTTGGTTCTTAGAGCGACGAGGTAACCTTAGCTATGATATATATATTTATCCAAGTCTATTTCATTAAAGTTACGAAAAAAGTTGTCTCGTTTGTAAGAGTTGCAGTTAAGATAGCTTATCATCCGTTGTAAAGCAATTGCCATTTGATAAGCAGCTTGACTTGGATACGATTTATGTATTTATTTGATATGATAGCTGGCTTGATAAACAAGAAACCCACAACGCGCTGCAGTCATCTGTCAGTACAAATCCAGCGACAAGAATGAGTGTATCGAAATCCTTCAGTCCTCGCCTTACGTGTGCGCTGCTGCTCTGGCTTTGCGGAGTTGGCATTGCGTTGGGATTTGTGAGCGAATCGCATCCGGAGAACAGTTCCGTGACATTCTGGCAGCGTGTCAAGGCCAGCTTCTCGGATTTTCAGTGGCAGCAGACGCAGCCAGAGGTGGAAACTCCGGAGACTATACAAAAGCGACGCGAGATATGGCAGCGGCTGACTATGGCAAGGATATTGTAGGAAATGCATTAGCCAATTATTGAGACGAGTTCAAATAAAGTATAGTCGAATGGATGATTCATTTTATTAGGTATCGGAAGCATCGAATGCATAGACTGCTGGGGAAAGACCTATCAAGTACTGGACTGTTCACTAAGGTAGACGCTTATAGCTCTTGGACGCATTTATTTGCTAGTTCTGAAAGCACTTGACATTCTTGGCCTGGTCACAGTAGCCAGCCCTCTGGTCCCAGTAGAGGCCCTTCGGACAGGCGGTGAGCACCGGCATGCCCGCAATGCAAATGTAGTACTTGCCACAGTCATCGGGATGCGGCAGATAGCTCTGGCGCTCCGAGGGGCACTTCAAGGTGCTGTGTGCCACACTTGGCGGTGTTGGTGCGACGGCAACTGTTGTCGGCTCCCGTTCGCTGGGCAAACTGGGCAAGCTGGGCATAGTGCTGCTGCTGCTGCTGCTACTGCTGCTGCTGCTGATGTTTACAATGTAGCACACTGTGACTTGGCCAGGCGTGGCGGTTGGTTCCTGAGTAGAAGCCAGAGCTGGATTACGGCTGTTGGCATAGCACTCAGCAACGCTACTCAGCTGGCACTCGGAGCTCCTGTAGTTCCAGTGCGTGCCACGTCCGCACTGGTGCCGGTGCAGATGGCCGTAGGCGCAAATGAAGTACAGCTGGCAACTGGTGGGGTGGGGCAGAAAGTAGGCGCCAAAGTGCCGGCACTCGATGTGCTCCGGGTCGTAGCGGTCCATGGGGCTCACGGCCAGGCCGGTGGCCACATCGACGGCCACAAAGACCGGCTGAGGCCGGCCCAGCCACCAATTGTAGTCGACATTCGCCAGCCCAGGCGTGGAGGTAGTGATGGTGGCAATGCTATCCGCTGGAGTGCAATTCACCTTTTCTGGAAAATCGCACACGGACTCAATCGGGTCGAAATGTAGGCCCTGGTCGCAATAGAAGAGCGTGGTCACCTTGTGGCAGGCAAAGTAGGCACTACAATCCAGTGGATGGGCTACCAAATGACCATCTGCACGTCCCTCACAAATCTGGAAAGAACCCCATTGATAAGTCAGCCATTCCCTTGAATGCAACTCCGGCACTTACATGGCTCAGATCTGCGAGTTCCTGGTGAATCGGCTGCTCAGCAGCTTGGGACACCCCGAGACAGATGCCCACAAGCAATGCAAAATGCATGCGTATTTCCATGCGACGTTCTTGGCGATGTTTGTTATTGATTTCACACACTTTGAGAAAAACAATTGATGATTACCTCGTGGTCGAGCCTTATATAAGGCCGGGTTCCCACACCCAGCCTCCGCTGGGTGCAGCCATTAAAGAGTACTATGCGTACACTAATTGGAACATGAAAACCTATTTTTGAGCACTTGTCGCGCCAGAGGTTAAATATGCGATAAAGAAAGAAACACTGAATAACAAGAGACGCAGATTTCATAGGAATGAATCATCCTCAAGACTCGAACATGTAGTATACTCTTAGGCAGCGGCGGGGAGTCTTATAAAAGAGCAGAATGTCGGCTTAAATTCTTAAATTATAGCTCTATTCTTTATTCATCGGTTCTTTATACAATGTGCGGTCAGTTCTTGTTGATAATGTAATATGATTCTACATTCACTGTAATCATAATCTATAATTACATCATGTGGCTGACAAATCTTTTAGAGTAGTGTAAATGATTATAGAGCTCGTCTGCAAATAAACTTAAGGATCTCATTATCGCTGAAAATTCGATTGAACATTTTTTGCTTGGATGGTATTTTATTGATTTACAGCTCCAAATGCAGCGTTATCTTTAAATACTTTT